TGACTGTTTGCAATCTTTATGGAGCTAATACTGTCTGTCGGGTGCAATTATATCCATCACAGGACTGACAGGAGGTCAGTGTATGACTGAAGAGCCAAGTTTCTCTCCTGTTTTCATCCGTGTTTATTGGAACCAGGAGAATTTTTCTTGCTTATTTCAGCTTTGGCTTAACTTTCACAAATAAGGTGGTTGCCTCCGCCAGCACCTAAGCTGCACTGTGGAGGTTACGTTTTACTGTTACGTTTTACGTTTTACTCAGCCCAGAAGGAAAAACAGCGTCCACTGTCCCATCTCACAGCGACGGCTTCGAATCTAACCTGGCGATTTGTTCTCTGGCAATTTCGGACTCGTACCTTTTCCTAAAATATCCTCACTTCAACATTTTTACTTTCAAAATCTTTGCACTTTCATTTCAGGTGTTACAGTGTTTTAAAGAACCCTTAAAGTCCTGGGTCGCGGGCTGTACGAGGCATCTCCTTATTTGAAGGAGAAAAGGAACGTTTTCTTCCTCTCCATGCTCATTCCCCAATCCTCTACCCTCTACTTACTTTCCTTATCCTCAGACACGAATCTTTTTTTTTTATTTTAAATTTACCTTTATTGTTGAAAGTATTACAGATATTTCCCTTTGTGGTCCACCGCCCCCTGCCCCTCCCTCCCCCCATTGACTTCCTCCACCCTGCCCCCACCCGTCCCAGGCCTTCACCACACTAGTGTCTGTGTTTCTGGGTTATGCCTGTAAGTTCCCTGTTAATCTCTCCCCACCCCAGATAGGACTCTTTTAAGCCTTTACTTACACACCTGGCACCACAGTGGTCTCGGAGCGTTCTGGAAGCAGGCTTGTTATGAAGCGTTTAGCATTCAAGAACACTGGGAGGACAATTTAGGGTAAAGGGGGCACCGATCCTCTGAGAAGTTAAAAGCTTGCAGATGGATCCCCAGAGCGCCTCCTGGCTGGCGACATTTCCCTTGGGGGCTCCTCTGGAGACAAGAGAAAGGATCCGGGCAGACACTGGTCGGGTTGGGAAGGATTCTGAGCCGCATCAGGCCTCTGGAAATATGCTTGGGGTTCTCAGCCAGGGCATGGCTCGTCTGCGGCAGTGATTTGGGGGGGGGGGGGGTCTTGGTGGCCCGGTGCATGTCACCCTGTACTTGGGGGGCCTTATGAAATGGGGGGGAGGGAGGTGGTTATCAGGGAATGTGGGGGTGGGAAACTGTCTTGTTTGTGGATCTTTGAGCCCACTGAACTTCCGGGGAAGCCTGAAACGAATCTGGTCTCCCAGGGCTGTGTGCATTATTTCCGTTTTCAAGGATTCGAGGGTTTTCAAGTTAGAAATTAAATCATACCGTGGAAAACAGTGCAGCGGGCATCTGCTGAGCCCTGCGTTGGACAGTCACCGAGTGTCGTGCATGAGCCAGTGTGCAGGGTGTCACCAGCTCTTTCCTGCTGCCTTCAAATGGACTTTATTTCATTACGGACCTGCCCTTCCTCCCTCCACACAGACACGCCCCGGGGTCGCTGTGGGAGGCACGGTCCCGTTTCCTGTGGACGGGCTTGGTTTTCCCATCATGGTTCTCATTTATATTTTGGGTTTACGAGTGCTTTAAACTAAAAATAAACGCTCCTTCACTTTTCTGTTGCTAAAAAGAATATTTTAAAATCCTTGTGAAATGTAGGGTTTCACATAAACGTCTCAGTCCCCGAGATAACATGTTTTTAAAATTTCACCTGCAATTTCAGGTTCTCTTTTTGACACTGGTGTGTAATTTCCTGGGGTTTGTCGAACCTGTATTTGTGGTCACTGGAGCCCAGTGGATGGAGTGGGAGGGCAGCCAGTGAAGTTGCTCCCGCTGTGGCCATACGCTCAGCTCTGGTTGGTAACTTGGAAGGAGAGATGAGAGTCCATAGCTCTGCTGGGAGGCGGGCTCATTCCGTCTACAGTGTGCTAGTGTCTAGGAACTAGGTGATTTAAAAAAATATATATTTTTATTGATTTCAAAGAGAGGGGGACAGAGAGATAGAAACATCAATGATGAGAGAGGTTCACTTATCAGCTGCCTTCTGCACGCCCCACACTGGGGATCAAGCCTGCAACCCAGGCATGTGCCCTGACCAAGAATTGAACTGTGACCTGCTGGTTCATAGGTCGATGCTCAAAACACCGGGCGGAATTAGGTGATTAATCCGTGATCCCTGGTGGCAACGAGGAGCTAATTAAGCAGTTGGGGTTTGGGATGTGTCTCCCCTCATCCCAGGCCACATTGTGCTTCTGTTCTTTGGCCCAAGGAGGTTTTACAAACAGAAACATTGCTGGCTTTCAAATCGGGGGGTATATTTTGTGTGCAGTTTAATGATGGCCTGACATTTCCTGGTTAAATTTGCGGTTCTGCATAACAAACATTTTGGAAAACAGACCTAGAGCTGAGCCCTCAGTTAGTGTTATTAGCAAGCAGAGGCTGAGGGGACTCTGTAGAAAAGATCTGGGACGGGAGATGCAACTTCTCCGGGGAGGTGATGTGAAAATAAACAAGGGGTGGCCTTGTTTTTGGTTGTCTTTCCCTCGCTTCGCCGGCAGCTCGCTGCCGCAGATGGGCAAGGTCTGTCCTCTCATCTGTCAGTGTCAGTGGGTAATTGCATTCCTTGGGGTCCAGAGTCTTGTCCTTGTCATCGGGAGGTGGTGGGGGCCGGGGTCAGAGGTGGCCCTGGAAGGGGAGGCTGGGAAAAAGCAGCTGTGTGTTTAGAGATGAGCTTTTATCTGAAACCAGCCTTGAATCCTTTGTAGCTGCATCTTTTGAAAAAATAGGGAGAGACTTGGGGACGTCTGCAGGCCAGCACCTAAGCCGCTTTCCTGAGACCCACCAAGGGTCCAGTCTGCATGTCCTCTAGGGACAGTCCCGTCTGTTCAGAGACCGACTGTGCTGTGATTCAGGGGTGCACCGAGGGACCCCCTAGCCCGCCAGGGGTGGGGCCAGCAGGGCGGGGCAGCTTCAGAACCTGGCTCCTGTGTGGCTGACATGTGGACAGTGGCTCCCAGCCCCTCCCCCCGGAGGCTGCCTTGCCCATGCCCTGCCGTCTGCATACCCAGCATGGTGGCCGGCCCTGGTCCTAGGCAACCGGAAGCTGGTTGGCGCAGGTGCAGGGGTGTCTTGGCCTCCACACAGGTCTGAGGCTGTAAGCGAGGGGGACACAGACGGCAGCAAATGGGGAGGTGTGCTGGTTGTGGTAAACATAATCTTTTGGTGGTGTGTGTCGTGACGGAAAGTGTTTTTTTCAGTGTAATCAGCGATGTTCGCTAGTAAGGAGGATGTTGGTTACCATTTGCCAGGCACCGACTGGTCTGGCCCCTGCTGGCACCATCCACGTTCATCCTCTTGCAGGTGATATCTTTTTGGTGGCACTTCAGGGTGGTGCCCGGAGGCCCAAAGAGTGGTGGCCAGGCGCACAGCGTCCCGTGCACCCGTGGGTCGCCCCAGCGTGTTCGCCTCATGGGGACAGGAGCGGCCCTCATTTTCACTTTCACGAACATCTTGCCTTTGGAGCTGCAGGGGCACCTCTGCCCACCTGCTCTGCCAGCTGGCCTGCGTGCGGTTCCCAGAGAGCCCAGCACATGATACTGAGCACTCATCTCCACTCCTTTCAGCCAGGATTGCAGGTTAATTGGGTGTCTTGCATCTTCTCCAGCTGCTTTGGCCTCCCGGCGCCTCCTGACCCACCGGCCGCCCTCCCCTCCGCCTTTGCAGGGCCAGGTGTCGGCTCTGTGGCATGGCCACCCACCCATTTTCGTGTCCCCATGGATTGCGTTCGCCGTGCTCCCTCTGAGTGCGCTTCCTGTCCTTCCTCGCAGACCCCAGCGGGTCGTGCGACTCTGCCATTGGCTCCACGCCATCCCTTTCGTGGGAAGCTCACCCATCCCTCTGAAACTGGGACACGGGCATTTTGTGAGCCAGAGTGATGAGATTTCTGAATTTGTGGGAAATACGCAGAAAGCGAGTCCCCTTTGGAAGGAGAGGGCCAGGGCTGCGGCCAGCTCTGCTCCTCGCCCACAGAGTGTGGGGGTGCCATGGCTCTCACTGAGGAGAAGTGGCTCCTGTGGGCGTGGGGGATCAGGTCATAGGGATCATCTGTGCTGCATGGGCCTCCCTGGACCTGTGCACGGGGGCGAGAGGCAGAGACGGCTGGCATGGGAGGCCCCCCGAGGGTGCTAAGGGTATGGCTGTGCTGAGGGCCACGGTGGCTGGGGACTCGTCTTTCTGACATCCTCAGGGGTATTCCTGAGAAACGGGACTTCAGCAGAGAGTCTTCTACACTGTGAAATGTTACGTTGTTAACATCCAGTCGTCATCCTCTGTGCAGTGGCTCTCAACCTTCTGGCCCTTTAAATACAGTTCCTCATGTTGTGACCCAACCATAAAATTATTTTCGTTGCTACTTCATAACTGTAATTTTGCTACTGTTATGAATCGTAATGTAAAAATCTGATATGCAGGATGGTCTTAGGCGACCAACCCCTGTGAAAGGGTCATTCAACCGCCAAAGGGGTCGCGACCCACAGGTTGAGAACCGCTGCTCTATAGCATGGTTTTTGGGATTTCAGACAAGGGGCTTTGAGTAAAAAACCAAAGGGCCCGAAAGTTGGCTGACTGGCTACAGGGTCCGTTCCGGGAAGCCAGGTGCCTCCTGTGTCTCCACCCCTGTGAATGCGCACAGCCGGGGCATCCTGGACGGGGCGGGGCCTGTGGGCTGGGCAGGAGCCTGTGAGGAGAGGGAAGTGGAAGCCACAGAGCCCTGAGGTCATGGGCAGAGTGGGTTTAGGGGGGCAGAGCGTAGACTTGGAATCGGAGCTGCCGTGTGGACTCGGCAGGTCACAGCCTCGCGTGGAGGTGCCATCAGGAGCTCCGTCTGCACTGGGCGTGTCCTGGTCTGAAACCTGGCGCATTGGGGCGTTCTGACCTTGCATTCAGTGTCCTGTGCCTCACTCTGTCACCCTCCTGTTTTGCAGATGCCTTTGTGAACAGCCAGGAATGGACGTTGAGTCGATCTGTCCCGGAGCTCAAAGTGGTGAGTGCGTCCTGGGCCTTGGCAGTGGTCTGTGCTCACCTGCAGGAGGGGGCTCCGCGGCAGGCGGTGACCTGATCACACCCAGGCCTGCATCCCTGGGGCCTGCTTGTCCCTGGGGCCCAGAGCGGAGCTTGCCTCTGGGTGTGTCCCTAGAAGGGCCAGGTGTAGCTGGCAGTTTGGGGCTGGAGCCCTGAGTGCCTGTGAGGCCAAGATGAACAAACAGCCAGAGCAGCCTGTGTGCACAGGCCGGGTCCCTCCATCATCTGCTCGTTTGTGTGTTTATGTGTGTGTGTTTCTCTCTCTCTCTCTCTCTCTCTCTCTCTCTCTCTCACACACACACACACACACACACACACACACACACACACACGGCTTTATTTATCCTTTGTTGGATGTCATGGAAAATTTCTAGAACGATTTATGAAGCTTTGGAATTCATCATTTAAAAAATGTAACTGTTACTACATTACAAAGTAGTGGCATAAAATTAAAAGAAGAATTTTGTTTTTAGTACAAACTCTGTTATTTCAGTGACATTAGTTAAAGCTTACAATTGGCTTATGAAACATGATCTGGGTCTCTTGCAGCCACACCTTTGAGCCAGAGCCGCCTCCCCACTTCCATTTAGGGTGAAGGAAGGGACAGACTTTATCTTGAAGTGTGATGTTCTTTGTTATGAAATAACTGGCTTTGGGGGGATGTGCCTGTGTGTGTGTATAGTTATATGTATATATGTTTGTATATATGTGTGTATATGCATATATGCATATTTATGTGTGTATAAGTGTACCCACTTAGGTATGCATTTATATGTATGGTGTGTGTATATGTGTGCACATATGTTCCTATATTGCCCTGGTTGATGTGGCTCAGAGGTTAGAGCAGGGGTGGGCAAACTTTTTGACTCGAGGGCCACAATGGGTTCTTAAACTGGACCGGAGGGCTGGAACAAAAGCATGGATGGAGTGTTTGTGTGAACTAATATAAATTCAAAGTAAACATCATTACATAAAAGGGTACGGTCTTTTTTTTTTTTAGTTTTATTCATTTCAAACGGGTCGGATCCGGCCTGCGGGCCATAGTTTGCCCACAGCTGGGTTAGAGTGTCGGCCTGCTTGCCGGAGGGTCACAGGTTTGATTCCAGTCAAGGGCATATACCTGGGTTGCAGATTTGATCCCCAGCCCCAGTCAGGGCATGTGAGGGAGGCAATCTATCTATGTGTCTCTCTCATATCGATGTTTCTCTCTCTTCCTCCCTGCCACTCGCTCTAAAAATCAATGGGAAAAAAATATCCTCAGGTAATGATTAACAAAATATATGTGGGTGTATGTACGTGCATGTGCTTATGTGTATATGCATATATATGTATGTATACAGGGTGTCCCAAAAATGTATGCACACTTCGAATAATTATAAAGGCAGTAGTTATTAAAATACATTTAATTTCAAAGTGTAATAGAAATCAGTTATTAAAGTGTGAATACATTTTTTGGGACACCCTGTATATGTGTATTTATGTGTGTGTTTATATGCATGGCATGTGTATGTATGTACATGTGTGTACGCATATGTCTGTGTATTCATGTACGTATATATGCATGTGTGTATGTGTATATGTATGTGTGTATGCATGTCCGTCTGTCCCTGTGTGTGTGTGTGTACACACATACATATATATATCTCTGCAGTGATGGGCTCTGACCGTAACGTGGGAGCATGTAAGCTCTCCCACTCAGCACACGCTGATGAAGCCTGCCTCAGTTCTCCCAGGTCCCCATTTGTTAGTAGCTGCAGGCTGTCTGCCCAGTGACCCCAACGCCCTTGGACACCTTCCACTGGTTGGACATTCAGAGGGGCAGGACCCTTGGGTTTCTCACTTCTGAGATGAGATTGCGCAACACGGGACACCCAGATTGTGAAGAGAGTGTACATGACTTTGAGTATGACTTTCATCATCAGGACAAGCAAGGAGGACGTGTGGGAGGGCACCTGAAATGGAGGCAGGGTCACCGTGTCCCCCGTCCCCGCTGCCCTCGCTGTGTGTCAGCCCGGCCATCGCCTTGCCTCGCTCTCCCACCAGAGCTTGGCCTTCTCTGGGGCACCTGCCAGCGGGTTTCTTCCCTTGCGGGAGACAAAGGGTCTGTGAGTCATGCCTGTTTTGGAAGCACGGGTTCCACAGGACTGACCTGGGAACAGGCACTCCTCCTGCCTCTGTTCTGAGACCCCCGGACCTGGCACGGCCAGGAAACACCTGTCAGTCGAATGCCACAAAGTTGGCATCATGGTCACAGGAGCTTTTCAGAAGGTTGGCCAGTTTCCCGTACACCCTCAGGAAACCACTTGCTGTGTGGGTCCTGCCATGGGAGTGAGACTCGGGGATGGGGTCTCCATGACAATGTGACTGCACTGTAAAACCCTTCCTCTGTGCAGGCCTTTGTGAGTGCTTCCTATACCGTCTCATTTAACCCTGACCACCCCCATCCCAGGTGGGGAGACTGAGGCTCGAAGGAGCCAGTTAGTAAGGGTGGAGCTGGGGTGTGAGCCGGGGACACGTTCTGTCCTCACTTCCAGGGCGGCCGCGCCTGACCCCTGGCCCCTGGCCCCTGTCCCCATGTGACTGTGGAGCACTTGAAGTGTGGCTCGTGCAGCTGAGGGGCTGAATTTGAAATTTTATTTGTCTAAATTGTAATAATTACAGACTGACTGTACTCGCCGAGTGTCAGACCCTCTGCCATATCCCCAGTTTTGAGAGTTAAAGGTGTCAGGGTTCTGCCAGCCCATAGTAAGGCTGCTTATAGCACAGATGTGTTTTCTGCCAGTTGAACAGCACGCAAACATCTGCAATCAATGGCCAGGGGCGCAGGAGGTGTGGCATCAAGGGGAGCATGGACTCCTGTTCTCCACAAGTAACTACCTGAAGGTTTGTTTGAATTCTCCGAAGGCTTGACTCCATCCTGGATAAGGAATGTGAGTGGTTCTGCAGGTCCTTAGGGGAGGTTCTTTTCCTCCTGCCCCTGACCCCTGTGGAAGGCTGGCTCTGCTCCGGGCGGGCGCCCCCTGGTGGAGGCCGCAGGCAGTTCGTCCTCTTAGGCCTCCAGGGCAGATCCCTTCTGTGCTAAGGAGTTGCAGCATCTACAGCAAGTGCTCCATTGTTCGGAGGCAGCCTCTGTGTATCCACAGGGCTGCAATTGTCTCCTGCCTAGTCCAGCACCACAAGACAGGTGGCCCCTTAGGTCAGCGCCTTCGGGACCCCTGACTCTGTTTCACAAACAGAATTAAATGACATAATAGCCAGCCTTAGATGGACTCTTTATGTAAGATTTTGCAATCAATCTTCTGGAATCTGTCAGAGAAAACAGCTCAGTGTTTGCTCTGTTTTCAAGAGTGGTAGTGCCATGCTGTGCCCTGAGGTTGTGTTAGGGTTAGATGATCAATGACAGTTGCACAGTGGGTCACTGCATGCCAGGCGCAGGCTTGGTGCTCTTGTCCGGGCAGAAAGAGTGAAGCCAGCGTAGCTGTCTTGCCTGTAGAGGGGCATGTTCATCAGCCTCTAGTCACGTCTGACTTCTGTGTTTTCGTTGAATTCCCAACTGGGATTTTTACTAAGAGCCTAGATTTCCTTTTCAGCAAACCACATGGTTAGCAGGTGAGGGGTGGAGTTTGGGAGGCAGGGAGGTCAGTGCGGGGAGAGACGGCGCTCTCGTTCCCTCGTGAACTGGCGATGTGGAGTGTGGCTCCCTGAGGGGTCGTGGCCCTGCCCCAGGACGAAGGGCTGGGGTGACTACCCCAGCCACCTCACGCCGGCAGGCCTGTCATTGCCAGGACACTGTCCCGAGCTGCCTTGTCCCCCCCCCACGGAGCCTGCAGGCCCAGGCCGGCTGCCTGCGTTCTCTCCTGTTGTACTTGCAGCGGCTCCCGGGCCCAGTGCAGCTCTGCAGCGGATCGAGCATTGTCCTTCGCTCTTCTTTTCCTCCCCACAGCCGGCTGCTGGTTTCTGCCAGTGTTTCAGGTTAGAATAATGCCCGGGATGGCGAATGTAGGTCTGTGAGATGGCCGTTCACATCAGTAACACCTTCCCACGCCCCCCAGGACTGACTGGTTTATTCCTCCTGATGGGTAACTCAGTTCTTGGCATGTTGTGGGCACGTAGGAAGGAAGGGCCGTTGCCACGCACAGAAGGCACCGGGTTACACGGTGTTTGATTCTGAGCGTTTTCCTCCTCGGGAAAGAGGCACTCTAATCTTAATTAAAAATTTAATTCTGTGGCACGCTGTTTTGGATTTTCTCAGCATGAAGCTGACAAACAGCAGGTGCCCTTGAGCAAAAGAATAATTAATAGGTAGAAATTCTCGGATGATAGAGGCCTCAGGTGAAAGGAAGACATCAGAAACCAGGAAGGAGACAGCTTTATTTAGGATCTTCTGCGAAGTCTGGCTTTCAGCCGCAGCAAAAGAGCAGCTCCTGTATACTCACTAGTGTTGGGTCACTCATTCACTCATTCATTCACTTATTCACTCATCCAACCAGTGTTGCTGGGAGGCAGAGAACCAGGACAAAGGAGACAGGGTCCTGCCCTTAGGGAGTTGTCAGTCCCGGGGAGTCAGACCTCATACTGATGCTGGGAAAATAAAGAGGGGGGTCCACGGAGCATGTGAGGAGGCACCGGAGCGTGGAGGAGCCCTGCTCCCTGAGGCTGTGGCTCTAGGAAGGCTTTCCGGAGGAGGTGACATCAGAACTGCTTGCTGACCAGAGCAGCAGGAGTCTTTCGGGCATTGGTGGATGTGGGAGGGTCTAGGTGTCTGGGGGTGCAGTTTGGGAGCTGGGGAAGGTGAGAAACTAAAGGGCTGTACCTGGGAGCGCAGGGTGGGTAATAGGATACAGAAAGGTCATATTTTAACTTATTTTTCAGTTTCATGCCAAGTGTGTTTTCTCCTGTGTTTGTTCTTCTAGTTATTGGCTTCATCATCTGTTTATCCAAACAGCCATTCTCTTTTCCTTCCATCTGTCCTTCCTTTCTTCCACCCACCCATCCGTCCACCATCCAGCTGTCCTACGCTCCCTCCCTTGGCATGTTGTGTCCCTCCATCCGTCTCTTTATCCCTTTCTTCCTCCCTCCATCCCTCTCTTCATCCATCCTCCATCCATCCCATATTTATCAGGCACTTTGTTGGGGCCAGAAACTGGTAAGTGTTGGGATGTGGAGTTGGTGTCCTTGCCAGGACCCAGAGACATAGTTCTTGGTCTTCAGGGATCTCAGTGTAGGGGGGACCTAGCCACGAACATCCCCAGCAGTCACAGTGTGCAGAGGAGGAGCAGGAAGACCATCCCAAACTGGTCAGGTGGAGAAGGGCGGGAGGGCCACAGACCTGCTGCTGGCCTGTGTGTCTGCAGACAGGGTGTGCAAGCTTTCAGAGGGAGACCGTGTGCTGCTGCTCCTGGAGCGTGGGCTCTGGCCTGCAGGCAGTGGGCAGGTGGGCCCCAGGCTTGTGAAATGAGTAACACCCGTGCTGCAGCCGCACCCGTGTTCCAGAGAAGCAGGCTTGCTCTTGTCTTCTGCCTGGTACCAGCCTCGTCCCTCCACCTCCCACCCCTGCCCCCACATTGTCATTAACTCATGTGGCTCATTTGGACCCAGCTCCAAACTCCTACCCCCAAATTGGGTGCAGGTAACCATGCACTTCCTTGGTGATGGAACGCACCAGAATGTCCTCCTTATCCCCGTATGCTCTGCACGCCACCATGGCCCACAGTGTTCCTCGCTCAGCGTTCCTGGCTCAGACTCGGAGGGTTCACAGTTCACGACGCCCTGACGCACACCCTTTCCTGGTGGACCCACCGCGCGTGGTGTTTAGGAGAGCGCCTCAGCCGCAGGTGTGGGGTGGTGTCCACGCTCTTAGGGCTGGCGAGGAGGTGAGAAGGGGGATGCTGACGAGGGAGCCCAGTCCCTCTCCTCCAGCAGGAAGGTCCCTGAGCCCATTTCTGCCCTTCCAGCCAGTGCCCCGTGTGATCATGTGTAGACGCACTGCACGTTTTAACTCCCTCCGCTTGTAGATTGCCGAACCGACTGACGCCCTGGTCCTTAATGATCGTCCGTTGCTTTGTTTCAGGGAATCGTGGGCAATCTGGCCAGCGGCAAGTCGGCCCTGGTGCACCGCTACCTGACCGGCACCTACGTCCAGGAAGAGTCTCCCGAAGGTACGCGGCCTGGCAGGCAGGCTCACGCTTAGGAGAGCTTAGCTTTTACATTTCCTGTAGCATATCCTAAATCATTACTTCCATGTATCACATGCCAAGAAAGTAATAGCGCACCAAGCAGTAGAAATCCTTAGGTAGATTGTTTTTCTCCAGTATTGGTCGCTGACCGATCGTATTCTCTATGGCATTCGGAGCAAGAGTAGAACCATGAAATACTCTTGAATTGATTTCTTCCCAATAGTCCTGACCTTTCTAAATGTCAGTCCAGTCTTACTCTCTTAAACATGCTTGGCCGTTTCTCCGGCCAGAATGTTGAGTTTATCCACACTGTGTACGTCCTGTGACGTAGTCGTAGATATGAGACGTTCAGATGCCTACCACCACCTGTTGGAATATGTTCCCCCTTTATAGTGTGTGATAAACATGTAATGGTCATTTTGCATGAGAATAAGATGTTTTATTCGCCATTAGGCCTTTACTTCTCCAGATAACATATCCATATTTTCTGCTGTAAATAAAATGCCGATAGGAACCCAGCAGCCCCTGTGTCCCTAATCCAGGCCTAGTTCACAGGCAGTTTTTCTAAATTATATTTTCTCTCCGTTTAACCTTGTAAAATCCAACTCTGAGACACTGAATTTCTGGTTCCTTCTTTTTCTTACTGGCTGTTCCATTCTTTGCAGATATGGATGCAGGTAACTATGCCCTTTCTTCATGGTAGCGCTTGTCTTGTTTGGAGAGAGGAGAGGCGGCTGTGTCCTGTAGCGTTCCCTCCCCTCCTCGTCCTGTGCTCCATCCTGTTGCCTTTGATTTTGCCTTTTCTTTAAGTTGAACATTTCACCCTGTTGCGTCCCTTAGATGTGTTTTTAGCAGTAGTCTAGCTTCCTATGTTTCCTGTAACACCTGTTCAGTGTCTAACTCCTGTCCTGGGGCCTGTGGAACCTTTGGATAGTGTGGAGGGATGGGTCCTGTGGCCATCTTTGCTTGGGGCTCGGCCATTAATTTGTGGAACTTTATAAACACATGAAAGCCTTGTGGTGGTCTCCATGGAGAGGCCGATTTTCTGCGTGACCCAGACAGAGGATGATTTAGAGAGACCGGAGGTGAACTCGAAGGCTTGAAGGCGGGCATCCCTGCGCAGACACACGGCCCCTGGTGGAAAGTGTCTGCAGATGCATGGTTTAGAGAGGCGAGGGAGGCGAGAGCTTAGGGAGGCTTTCTCACTCTTGAGGTCTGCACCTGGTCGGGCTGCTGTATTTGTTCCTTTGTGTCTGAGTGTGGCTTTGATTTTCCTAGACTGAGGTTTGCTGGTTCCTCAGGTGTAGCTACTGTATAGGTTGATGACCCCAGCCGCTCAGTGTCTGGGTGACCTGATAGCAGGTGTAATGATCACCTCTCCAGGTAAAGCTGCCTGCACCACCCACCACGCCCCTCAGGCACTCCGATGCGAGCCCTGCCCTGGGGATGCTCTGGCTGCTCTCATTGGGCTCCGTGTCTGCCTGCCTGGCTGGTGCCGTGGCTGGTACCGGAGTCTCCGGCCCTCTCACTCAGGGACGCCTCTCCCTCCCCCTGTGTTGTCTTTGCTGTGGCTGCGCTCTTGTTCCTTTGCACGGTCACAGTTTGTTTTGTCACATTGGGGCCTGACTGTGCTGTCTTTGCAACTGGCCTTGTATTTTTATTAGCATGAAGGCATTTCTCTTGAATGTTCATTCATTAAAAGTAAAAATCGTACCAAAATTACGACCCCTAATAGCCCAGATTCTTTGGTTTTTCAAATAACACGTTTTACTCTACTGAATTTCCTGGTATCGCATACAGTTTCCTAAACACAGTTTTAAAGGGTAGAACTGCGAGCGTTTGTACACAAAAGGACGCTCTTTCCTCAGCTGCACAGTGGAAACATCTCTCCCCTCAGGCCCGCGCCCGAGGCCCCTGCGTCAGGAGGAGGACAGTCCACGGTCTTCTCCCTGCACCTCAGGAGCTCACCCGGGCACCTCTCACTGATTGACCCCAGGTCAAGGGTGTGGGGGTGCTGGGAGCTTGGAGCAGCACCCAGCCAGGTGCACCCAGTGGATGTGCATCAGGGCCTCTGGGTGCTGTCTTGCTGGAAGCCCCTTAGCCCCTGAACCCGTTTCTCAGAGCCTGGCCACCTGCGCCTGCCTGAACCAGGCAGGTGGCCGTGTCTACACAGACCAGGAAACTGACTCCCACATCCCGTCCATGTGCCCCCGGCGGGTCTCCACATGGCAGCAGGAAGGGACCATGGTTGTCTCAGAAAGAAAACGACAGAAAAGCCTTGATTCTCCCTGTCTTACCATGGAAGCTCTTCCTCACAGCCCGGGAGCCTGTGACTGCAAAGTGGTTGCCATTCTTGTTGAGGGCATTCCTGTCGCTCAGAGCCCGTGCGTGCTTTACAGGGAAGCTGCGTGCGGAATGTTCTGGAGTTGGAATGGACGTGTCTCTGCACAGGTTTATGGAGAGCATGGGAGCCGTGGCATCCCCTCCCAGGGGTGCAGGAGCTAGAAGCCGATTATGGCCCAGCCCCAGCTGTGAGTCGTGAGTCGTCAGCTCTGCCTTTGGAGACCAAGGGTCAGGTTAGCCACAGCTGATGGTGGTGTTTCGGGCACCAGGCCAAGGGGGTTGGACTTTGAGCTGGGAGACCTTTCCATTTCCTGGTGTTTTTACTACCTTCTAACGTATGCGCCTTCCTCTTACAACTGCCGGAGCGGTCACCTGCCTCCAGCCACACATGGGCAGCGACTTTAGATGAAAAACACGTTGCTGGTGGTGGGGCTGGGTGACCCGTCCGTCCACATAGCTCCTCGGAGCTCCCTGCGGCTTCTCACGTCTGCACAGGGCTATTCTTTTGATTTAATTAACGTGTAAATGCCCTCTAGTGTTCCTCTGACCAAACCAGGGCCCTTTAGATTGCTGGGAGGGGTGGTGAGGGCCTTCCTGCTTCAGGGTTCTCGCTCTCAGAACCCTCTCGTGTGACCTCCCGACCTTCGCCGGAGCACACTTTCATCAGATCGAGTTTGGCGGGATCTCAGAGGGTAATATTTGCTGTGTTTTAGTTGTGTGAGTTTGGTTGGTATTTTATTCCTGTGGCAAAGAGAGCTCATTCACACAATTTAGGTCATTTTAAAGACACAATTTAAATGACAACAGATTTAAATGTTATGTGTGTTTTTTAACTAGTGAATTAACAAGGCAAAAGTAGGTAACTCAGTAGGGAGCTTTTGATTCCTTGAATGTCATCCAGAGTCAAGTTTTTGTACAGGCAAGTATGTTTTTAATTTTGTGTGTGTGTGAGAGAGAGACATGTATGCGGGTGGAGTCCTGGAGCTGCCACAGGTGACCACAAACTGGCAGCTAAAACAACAGGCTGTGTTCCCTCCCAGTGCCGGGGCCAGGAGTCTCGGTGCAGGCGGACAGGTTGGTCCTCCCGGGCTCTGAGGGGGATCTGCTCCCTGCCTCTCTCCCGGCTTCTGCGGGCAGCCGGCGGCTGTTGGTGTCCTTGGTCTGTACACACATCACTCCAGTCTCTGCCTCAGCCGCCAGGTGGCCTTGTTTCTGGTCCAAATGTCCCTCTTCTCACCAGGACACCAGGACTGGAGGTAGGGCCACCCTCCTTTACTAGGACGTCTGTCATCTTAACTTGATCACCTCTGCAAAGACCCTGTTTCTAAATAAGGTCACATCAGGTGTTGGGGGTTTGGACTGGAACATAACTTTTTTGTGATAAAATTAAACCCACACCGTGTGCGTATCGTGCACATGCAGTGTTTCAACAAGCTGCTCTCACAGCGTGAAGTTGCCCCGTTGCCTCTCGGCGGCCAGGCCGTGCTGCGATCTCACTGCTGGCTTCTTGGAGGTCACACGCATTCCGTTCGTTTACGTGTGACCTTCACGCCTCTGATGGGATTTCACAGCTGCCACTCACTCCTCGGCCATCAGTGCCCTGCTCATGGCTGCCAATTAGAATTGTGAGTGGCGTTTGGCGTGTAATCCGAGTTTCCGTCTCATGTGCTTAGTATTCACCCTGTTACAGCGACCACCACTCGGCTTTTAACTCTCTCCCTTGAAGGAGGAAAGAAAGGCAGGCCGTTCAGTACTGTGGGAATTTGCACAAGGACCCGCCTGAGACACTTCCCCCGCCGGCCAGGAGGCTGAGTCCTGTCCCGGGGACATTGCTCTGTGATTCCTTTTCTCTCAGAGCGGCTGATGGGGCCCAGCTCAGGGTTGCAGAGCCGCTTGGGTGGAAGGACCTGGAGCCCAGGAGGCGGAGCCCCAGCCAGTGCCTCCCGGGTGGTGGGGAAGGGAGAGGCCCACTGGCTCCCTGGTGGTTGAGTGGGAGATTTGAAGGTTGGCAGTGACAAACTTAAGGATGTCCATAGAGCTTCCTGCGGCTCTGGAATTAACTACTGGCAGCCACTTTTACAAGGAACCTGAGCTATGAAATGGGTGACAGTGCCAGGATGAAGTCAGACTGGTTGAGAAACTTCTTCATCGGGTCTGGAGCAAACCCTCCTCCAGGTGTGGGCGTGGCAGGCGTGGTAGGGGCCTGCCTGCCACGGAGGTCCGGGAGCGAGGGTCAGCAGGGTCGCTGCTGCTGCGGCCACAGAAGGGCTTTGCTGAGGGGCTTTCGCCAGGTGTGACCGAGGAGCAGCTGTCCCTGACATTCCCAGGTCCTGTGAGCTGAACCCGGCAGGATTCCTTCCTGCAGTGAGTGGATCTTCAGCTTCTCATAGGCTCTCAAGCAACTCACATTTGTGAACAAAAATCTCCCTCCCGGGCCCTGGCAGCCCCAAATTTGTCTAGGCCAGCGGCCAGCAGGTTCCTGGCTGAGAGCCTGGGAATGGGTGACATGCCAGCCTGAAGGCTGCGATGGCCCTCCTCTCACCTCCAGGAGGGTGGTCCTTCATCGCACGGTGACCTGTGAGCTGTCTCTTTCATTCCAGTTCTTTCCAGCAGGGAGCACACAGGTGAGGCAGCAACCTGGAGCTTCCTACCCCCACCCTGAACGGAAAACACTACCTTACAGCTGGGAATTTCAGCCCCGCACCACCCATACGACAAATATAACAGACTAAGAGTCCAAAGAGCGTAGGCAAAGAATGAAAGCTGGGTCTTCCACGCGGAGTGGAGTGGAGGGAGGAGAAGCCAGCCTCCTTCCCAGTTGGGAGACGCCTGGGAAGTTCTCCCTGCAGAATCATTGGAGACAGTTAGAGGGAAACCCGAATGTCTGCTATTTGGGAAAAGTTTTAGGGGAAAAATGAAATGTTAGATACTAAGACGAATGATTACTGTCAGGTAAGGAAAATGGTTGAATCAATAATAGAACCCCTCTCGTTCTGTAAAGGTTTTCCGATAGGAGCCCCCCACGTCCTGGCGAGCAGTAACTGCATGGTGACATGTCCCCAAGGTCATTGCTGACCTGACATGCCACACGCCAGTCGCTGTCATTACACAGGCGCCTGCTTGTCACTCACGAGAAGCTGGGCTGTGTCAGGGAGCTGGTCTGTGCCATGTCTGAGGTTTAAAAGGCCAGCGTGGAGCTGCCAGCCTCCCAGCTTCCGGGAGGTGGGTTCTGGTTTCCACAGTGTGTCCCTGACTCAGCCCATCCCACGTGCCCGTCTCTCAGTGAGTGTGTAACACACTTGCCAGTGCACGCTGGACGTTACTGTGATACAGG